CTACTCCTACTACTACTACTACTACTACTAGTTACTAGTTACTAGTTACTAGTTACTACTACTAATTAATACTACTAACTACTAACTACTAACTACTAACTACGACTACTACTACTACTAGTTACTAGTTACTAGTTACTGGTTACTGGTTACTGGTTACTGGTTACTACTACTACTACTACTACTACTACTACTACTACTACTACTACTACTCCTGCTACTACTACTACTACTACTACTACTACTACTACTACTACTACTAGGAACAAAAAGCGACTAGATTCAAAAATTCCGTGCTGTACCGGTGAAGCAACCGTCGACTCTGTGGACTTGCTGCCAAGGTTCCTCACAGTCCTTGGTGCCCACAAGTGTGTCTGTGTGAACAAAATCATGTGCAAAAAGAATCCAGAAACGAGTTGCATGCATGTGTGATATTCCCCTGCAAAGCTGATAGAAAAGGGCACCTCCTATCACCGCTGCGACGGCTGAGCCGTTGCAACGCATCAGCTACAAATGTAGACTGTCAGACGAGAAAGGGAGGTGGCCTCCTGCGGTGTGTGGGAAGGAGAGGGAACCACGAGTCGGAGAGGTGAACCACTGCACCGAAACGCGAGAGCTTCTTGCTGCATTGCTGTTCCTTCGAAACACGGTGGGCCACCTCTCCCAGCGGTTCCTGTTTTCGTCATCGTGGGCCGCCGAAAGTGCACGCATACGGCATGACCTTGAAAGGATGACCATGAAATCCTCATACCAAACAAATGTTTTCACCTCACTTCCATGATTCCAGGGAGTGACCGTTTCTTATGGCCCTTTACTATTGGTTGATCGATAGAGGGGATACCCCAGGGTCATGTACCACCCAAGTTCGGATCAAACGACTGGATCTGCATTTTTCAAGCAGAGAGACCTTCGTCTGAAAAACCAACCAAAACCGGCCGGACCAAAACGAATCTTTTCCCGGCCCACCAGGTGAGTGAGGACGAAGAACTAGGGAAGTCTCCCCCTGCCCCGACCACCGCGGCGACGCCAAGACTCGGCTCCTTCACCTCGAGCAGCTCGGCGGCCCTGCGGAACTCCGGCGTCATCCGCTGGCTGTGGCTGCACCTCTTCAGGCCATGTTTCTTGTTTTGTTTTTGCGGAAGGAAAGCAAGCAGATCAAGCGATAGAGGTAGAGGAATGAAACATATCCTGTTACACGAAAGGATTTGAACATAATATTTTATCCCGTTGTTCTAGTCTCTGTATAAATTATAGAAAATAGTATTTAACAAAAAAAACATAAAAATACTGTATAAGATTAAAGATGGTCTTCAAACCATCGTTGGGCTGGTAATGAGTTTGACATAGTTTGACCATGTTTGACAGCACCGCCAGTCAACCGGCATCTGAGAGCCGGTTGACCCATGGGCATAGACCATCAGCACAGTGATGGGCTGGATGGCCTGGATAGAGTTGGGCGGGGTGGTGTGGTCTCCTCGGTGCACCAAAGGGTTGGAGGGGAAGTGCCTGTAGCGATGATTGTCGGTCTCCAAAGAAATCACATGAAACCATCTATGTGTTATCTTCTTTCATTTTATCTGAACAACACAACAATTTGCCTTGGGGGGGACAACTCCAGCAACATCAACTTCACGCAATACCTCGACATGAGCGAGAGTTTAAATGTACATCATATTCATATTATATACTATGCGTATTAATTACCTAATATTATAGTGTATACACTGGTCGGTGAAGCAAGGGGATGTCAGCATTGTTCAGTGGTGTTGGACTGGTTCCACACCTTGGTGTCGCATCTTTCCGACAGCGAAAGAACCCCAGTGGTTCGAGCTTTGCGTTTGGGAGGGCAGGGCGCTCAGCTCTTCCGTGTGCGTCAACAAATGTCTCTGTCTCCCGTTTACGGTTTTAACGGTGCAAAGGGCGGCACCATTGTATCACGGGCGCCCGTGCCAGAAATTGCTCCACGTTGCGGGCATGAAGCGTGGCGACCTGCATGGAGGCACAATTGATGTTGGACATCCCACATATTGGCGGACATGTTTAACCTGCAACAACCTGCTTGACCTCTTCAAACAAAAGCGACTCCCCCGAACCCCTTCGTGCCTTGGAAATGCTCGGCTCAGGGATGCCGCCCAACAGCTGCGGAGGTCCGGGCATCTGCAGCACCTGCCGAGTCTTCTTGTTCCTAGTAGTAATGCCAGGAGCTACTAGTAGCGTCCTTGCTCCTAATAGCGATGCCTTGTTATCAGAAGCTTGTTACTAGTAGTAATGGCGTCCAACCTAATACTGTAGCGATGGCCTCCACCTAATTCCGATGGCCTCCAACCTAATAGCGACGGCCTCCAACCTAATAGCGATGGCACCCACCTAATAGCGATGGCCTCCAACCTAATAGCGGTGGCCTCCACCTAGTAGCGATGGCCTCCACCTATAGTAGCTTCTTTACTAGTAGCTAGAAGCTACTTCACATGTTTCGCCCAAACATGGAAGGTGCTTCGAAGGGGAAGGAACCTTCAGAAGGTCCTTCTCGGCTTTTTGTCGCTCCAGCTCCTTGCGGTCCTGCAACACGGAATCAGCCACCCAAATGGTTAAACCATGGTAAAGCTCCGGGTGGACTGCAGAATCACTAGGATCAGGGGCTGGTAGGTCATGTAACGGTCATGTCTAATGCCAACAGGGCCATAAGGATTGCCATCTCTTGCCACCCTCGGAGACCAGCTCGTACGAAAGAGATCGGATTGGTCTAACGGTTCCTGGCCAGGTCGGCGGGGAGCCACTGGCTGGGTCAGTGATGGAATACAACTAACTACCAGAGCCAGATCAAACTTAAAGCCAGGCAAGTAAAGTAGCGCTTATAAACATTTTTGGGGGGGGCATAGTCCGACAAAAACGACAACCACTGCAATAGAGATGTTTGAATGCTCCTTGCAGCAAAAGTGGGTTACTCACCCAGATTTATTCATGCAGAATGTCTGTCTCACATTGTTGTTTTGTAGAGAGTATCAATTCTCGTTTGAGAGACGTACTAAAGTTGTACTACAAAGTCGCCAGTTCTCACCTTCCAGCTCCCCAAATACTCCGCGTACTAAAGTTGTACTAGTCGCCAGTTCTCAGCTTCCAGCTCCACAGATTGCTCCGCGTACTAAAGTTGTACTACAAAGTCGCCAGTTCTCATCTTCCAGCTCTCCAGATACTCCGCGTACTAAAGTTGCACTACCAAGTCGCCAGTTCTCATCTTCCAGCTCCCCAGATACTCCGCATACTAAAGTTCTACTACAAAGTCGCCAGTTCTCAGCTTCCAGAGCTCCACAGATGCTGTGCCTGCCACGAAATCTGCACCTCGAGGTTCACAAAGTGCTGCGCCTGCCAGGAATTCTGCACATGGAGGTTCACAAAGTGCTGTGCCTGCCACGAAATCTGCACCTCGAGGTGCACAAAGCGCTGCACCTGCCACCAGATCTGCACATGGAGGTTCACAAAGTGCTGTGCCTGCCAAGAGTTCCGCACATGGAGGTTCACAAAGTGCTGCGCCTGCCACGAAATCTGCACAGGGAGGTTCACAAAGTGCTGCGCCTGCCACGAAATCTGCACATGGAGGTTCACAAAGTGCTGCACCTGCCACGAATTCTGCACATGGAGGTTCACAAAGTGCTGCACCTCCCACGAATTCTGCAGATGGAGGTTCACAAAGTGCTGCGCCTGCCACGAAATCTGCACATGGAGGTTCACAAAGTGCTGCGCCTGCCACGAAATCTGCACATGGAGGTTCACAAAGTGCTGTGCCTGCCACGACATCTGCACATGGAGGATCACAAACAGCTGTGCCTGCAACGAAATCTGCACATTGAGGTTCACAAAGTGCCGCGCCTGCCACGAAATCTGCACATGGAGGTTCACAAAGTGCTGCGCCTGCCACGAAATCTGCACCTCGAGGTTCACAAAGTGCTGCACCTGCACATGGAGGTTCACAAAGTGCTGCGCCTGCCACGAAATCTGCACATGGAGGTTCACAAAGTGCTGCGCGTGCCACGAAATCTGCACATGGAGGTTCACAAAGTGCTGTGCCTGCCACGAAATCTGCACTTCAAGAAACAAGTGTAAAACTCTAACCACAATGGAGGGACGATTCCGACCATGATCCGAGCATGACCCGACCATGACCCGAGACCGTCTCGCACACGTCGTTCCGCAAAGCTTGACTTGCCAGCTTCAGAGCCACCCTTTCTATTGAAAAACACAGCACTCGAAAACGCATTTTGTATTGCGCCTGCCACGAAATCTGCACATGGAGGTTCACAAAGTGCTGTGCCTGGCACGAAATCTGCCCCTCGAGGTTCACAAAGTGCTGCACCTGCCACGAAATCTGCACATGGAGGTTCACAAAGTGCTGCGCCTGCCACGAAATCTGCACATGGAGGTTCACAAAGTGCTGCGCCTGCCACGAAATCTGCGCATGGAGGTTCACAAAGCGCTGTGCCTGCCACGAAATCTGCACCTCGAGGTCACAAAGTGCTGCACCTGCCACGAATTCTGCACATGGAGGTTCAAAGTGCTGCGCCTGCCACGTAAACTGGAGCTAGAGCTCTTGAAATTGGAGCTAACTGGAGCTAGAGCTATTGAAACTAGAGCTACCTGGAGCTAGAGCTATTGAAACTAGAGCTAACTGGAGCTAGAGCTATTGAAACTAGAGCTAACTGGAGCTAGAGCTATTGAAACTAGAGCTACCTGGAGCTAGAGCTCTTGAAACCAGAGCTAACTGGAGCTAGAGCTCTTGAAACTAGAGCTAACTGGATGATGAGTGGTGCACGATAAGTGGTGTATGATGAGTGGTGTATGATAAGTGGTGTAAGATAAGTGGTGTATAATGAGTGGTATATGATAAGTGGTGTATGATGAGTGGTGTATGATGAGTGGTGTATGATGAGTGG